GATTGACTGTGTGCCGGGCGTCACCGGCTAGCATTGCTTGCCCGCCTCTCCCTTGCTTGTTGTCTCTCGTGATTAAGCTGGCTTTGTCCCTCTGCTCTCTCCATTACGGAGGGGTTCTCCGGCACCGACTAGATCGATAGAGTCTGGAATAAGCATGTTTGCTTCTACCCCTTCGTCGCCGTCGTCCGGGCTGTTGGTTCTGCTACAGTAATTCTATGGGGACACAGTCAGAACAGCATAGCAACACCGCCAAGTGAACCAAGCCTGTAGAAAAGGCGGGTGTGCCATCCGTATGGTGTGAATGTCCATGCTGGCCACACACCAGGCCCCATGTCTCTGATCAACCCCACGCGCAGAAGGAATGAGGCGGGCATTGGTGGGAGGGCACGAGGGGTCGCTGTGGACGGCCCAGGTCAAGATCAAGGTCGGCCAAGCAAGGATGTTGGAACGATTTCTGGATAGTGCCAACCGGAACAGACGAGCGAAGTTGCTCTCCATCCCCGAGGGAAAGTACATTTGCATTCACGAGGGTCCCGTTGGACGGCGTGACAAGTCCCTTCGCCGCTTTCGCTGAACATTTTGTGCATCTTGGGCCTGAGACTTCGAGTTTTTTTTAGTTTTTTTTTAGTTTTGTTTTTTTCGCCTGAACATTATTCGTGTGATATGCCAGAGGGATACAGCTTCTTGTTGGGCCAAACGCTTGGCTTGGGAGACGAGGGCCGTATGACGGATCCTCGTACCTTTTTGATAGTCTGCCGTCCAACTCCAGTGCCTCTGCTCAGCGGTACATCTGGTCCAGATTTGGTATTCGACCGGACGGCCCCGCAAGATGGCTGGGGGGGCTGTTGTGCTCAATCCTGGCATATTGACCTTTATTCGAACGATTCTAATCAGCGAGAACTGTTGTGGAACATTTGGCGGCAATGAAAGGCGGGATATCTCAAAGGTATCGTCATCAGGTGGCAATTGACGGCTGCAATTGTGACGTGAAATAATCGTGAAGATCACAACTACATGCTTCTCGTGATTCCAGTATCGCCGTCCTTTCCGGGGTAAGTGCAAATGGCGATTTGCATCTTCTAGGTTGCATCCCCATCGCGTGTTCCACAGCCGGCTTCTAGGTTGACTGACAGAGCATACGGATACACTCGTGACTCTCAATAGCAAGGCGACTGGGACAAGGAACGGATGATCGGCGTGGCTTTCCTGCTTAGTTGTCGCCTCTCTGCAGAGCATTTCGGCTTTCGTCTGGCGCATCAAGGGAAAACCAGCCATGCCCACGCCCCCGCGCCAACATCACCTGGGTTGCTTCAGGACTGGAACAGGCATTATCCCGCCCGACGTAGGTTCTCTTCGTCTGGGGACGCAGACGGCCGCGGATCGGTCAGCGGGCATCTGGCGCATTGACTCTTAGCTCCGAAGGAGGCGCGGGAGTGGCCCGTGTTGACCGCAAAAAAGACGTATAACTTCAAGGTGGCAGACCGGGGGGGATGAGATAAGATGGAGCATGGTTTGCTGAATTCATAGCGTGCGCCGCAATATGGCCCGCGCCGCGAGCAACGTAGCCGAACGACCCAGGGTTCCAGGCATAAGGGACCGCTGACGGTGGTGGTGCCGATGCTGACCCCCCCTTCCCTTCCAAAGCCTAAATGGCCACAAGAAGTCTCTATGTCCAGGGGTGGATGGCGGCGTCTGCCTTGGCTATGCTTTTGCATTTCGGTCCGCGTCCCAGAATGCCTGGTCCCGGGCTGCACATCGACCGATCTCAGGTCGATTAGTGATTGATCGATACGAAGGCGAGAGGTAGCGTCGGCAACAGGCTGGCTGTCGCTCCGCCGTGCGTACTCCGTATACCAGCCAGACCTAAAGTCCATTAAGACTCCTTTCCCGAGGCTCCGATCGTTGACACTGACACTGCATTTGACAAGTCAGAGAACGGTAAATCATGGCCCTATGAAGTGAAACTGAAAAGAAAGCAACCGGCAGTCCGAATTCGGTATGCCTCCGCCGACAGTCAGCCGAGCAGATTCCAACGACGAAGATCCAAATTAGCGCCGTACTCTAGACGTTTTACTGAAGACGCAGGCAATGAATGTTGCATGGATTCTAGTGTCTCGTCCAGACTCGCAAAGTTTGCATACGCTATTTCCGTCAAGAGTGTGGGAACATCGGTAGCGACGCAACAGCACTCTGTAGGTGCGAAGCATGTATGGATGGAACCAGACAAGGTTTGCCCAGCTGCCATGTCCGAAATATCGAGGTTCGTGGGATGGCACCTTGGGATGCGGATAAGCCCGCAGAGACGTCCCCCGGTCGTTTGAAGGTTCTCCATTTGCTTGGCCCAACTCGGCCCAACTTGCAGGGCAGGTGATGGAAGGGCCAAGCAGCGTCTGCGTCTGAATGGCTCTGCTCGCCCAAGATGCGGTGCTTCTTCCCGGTTAGGCGTAAGTGGAGGCAAGCAGAAGAGTCTACATAGAAGAGTCTCTTGGTGAATGAGCGGAATGGCTCGGAGCTGGCTGCGATCCAACCATTGTGAATGATGAAGTGATTCCGGGACGAGTCTGCGCCAGAGACAATGCTGCTTGGTATGTCTCGCGGGGGTTTCGGTTGTTACACGAGAAACGAGACAGAGAATGCCAGTGGAGGCGACGCGCCATGCCACTCACCCGAATAGGCATTAGTTGACCCTGTAGCAGTAAGGGGACTAGAAAGCCATACCGCCATGGTGGGCGGGTGTCGCGGGTCGAGGCGTTTGGATGGGAAAAAGAGAGAGGGAGAGGGCGAGGTAGGGGGAGAAGGGAGAAAACATTGTGAGCGCACGACTTCCAGGTGGTTGCGAATGCTGCTGGAGGGTGGATAAGGTATGTACCATGGATACCTTGACGATGTCCTGTGTGGATACCTAGGTAGGTACGGATACTTCATCCCGTGGGCCGTGTGCCCTTCACCCCGTGAAATCACAGTACGTACCGTCTTACTAAGAGAATCCAGGTGCGCCAGGGCCAGGGCAGGCACGCCAGGCAACCTAGGTACCTTAGGCAGTCGGAGCCGATAACAGGTGGAAATCTATGAGGCAGGTTCGACGGACAGGGCCTGCCAACTGGAGGCCGTTTCCGTGTAACCCCAGGGAACACCACTCGTTGCTCACGTGGTACAAAAGCGGGGCAACTCTAAGCTGGCAAGCTCTCCCGTCCTCACCTCACATCACCTCACCCCTCACATTTTCTGCAGTCTCCCCCTCCTCTTCGAAGTCGAGTTCTCAAAATGGAAGTCAGCCATCTTATTAGGGTACCAAGCAGCAGCATCCATGAATGCGCGCTTTCAGCTCCGACTTTTCCTGACCACTCCCAGCATCCCCTCAAAGGAGCGGCTGGAGGAGACCTGGTTGGTTGTGCCTCTCAGCAGCATCTTCAGGGATCGTCCGTCATAGTAAAGTCATGTCTGACCGCCCCTTCATCCCGATGCCCTCAGTGAAAGACAGCTTTCCTCGGTGTCTGGGTCCGGCTCCCCGCTATCACTACCCATGAACAGATATGCAGGTCATGTCCCCAGGTCTTTCCTATTTGTACCAGACCTATACTCCGTACTCCATACATCCTTGGCTCCGTAGGCCGTAGACATCCCAAAGAGCCCGGGACCGAGAGATTGCCCATTGCCTGCCATGGTCGGGCCGCCTTGCACCTCACTTCGAGCAGGGCTGAAGAGCATTTCTGCACGCCACATCTCGGACACCGCTGATGTCCGGTGAGGGGGAATACCGCTGGGTTCAGGGCGGCCAGAGTGCCGTCTGGGTGAGGTACGGATGCGCGCTTCCCATGTCTTCGTATGTCTCACTCTGCCCGCATCCCGGCATCTAAGCATTCGCCCTATCAACCTCGGCCATGTACATGATAGCAATGCCAGACAAGAAGAATAGGTATCAGTATCCGTAAGCCAACTCTGTTGTTTAGGTCGCCTTGGCAAGGGCCCAGCAATGTGGTTGCGCTCCCTCTCCCCGACATCAATGAGGTAAGGGAGAGAAAGATACCGGCTTGCAGGGCAAAAGCCAACCAATTCCCTCCACGGATGAACTCATTTCCTCCTGCCGTCGATCGATGATTCGATCCTATTACGGAGACACAGACCTATCCCGCCCAGTCCAACTTCGCCGGGGCCTTCCCTAACATTCTTTTTTGAGATATCTCTGCCTGCCACCATCGCACCATCACCGCCTCTCAGGCAGTCACGTCAACTTCATCATGTTCTTGCCTTGTACCCTGAATTTTACCGGACGAGTGTCCACACTGCATACATGATCACTTTCTTTCTCATTCTACTCATCATGAGGCTTGATTCCCCACAAACCTCTTATATATGACTCGGAGTAGCCAAGGAAGTCAGCCGCAAGCGTGTTATCGTCTACTCTTCTCATCGGCATTCCTCCTAAATTCAAACCGAAGCTCGGCGGCCGCTGTATCGATTGCATCGGGCAGCAAGGATTCCAAACCACTCAGGAGCCTACTCTTTCAAGTATCAATTTTCACGCAAGCCTCACCAGCCCGAAAGAAAGTATCAAAAGGACCCCCAAGACGGCAGCTGTCTAGGCCGGCCACGGGTGACTTACATCCCTGCAGCTCTCATGTCTCACAAATTACCACACGTCATTCCCAGGCATTTTTCAGCCCTCCAGCAGTTCCAACGAGGCAAGCGAGGGAATGGATTGGCTTCTCTCGCGTAATACGAGAAGCCTTCCGGACCGATCGTTGCCAAGTTTACCGAATTGGTGGAAAAGGGCGCCATTAAAGTTAAGACAAGCAGTGAGCCTCTGCCCGTTTTCCCTCATGCCCTCCGCAAAACACACCTGAACCCACAAGACACTGAGGCTTTGGACGTATTGCCCGCCACCTACTTCGCTCAGAGACTCATTCATTTCATGTAACACATGTCGCAACCGTTATTCACATGCTGTCTCAATACTTTCTAGAGGTTGATAATGCCAGCAATGGCGAGATCGAGATCACATGCTGGCCACAACGAAACAGAACAGTCGGTCAGTTCACGATCATAATGCCCGATTGAGCTTTACGAGGTACATCTCTGGAACCGTCTCTGGAACCGTCTCTGATCCCTTCTTCAGCCGCGCCCAACAATATCCAATTCTATTCAGTGAGCCGGCTACGTACCCAGTGGTAATCTCGGTAACGCATATCTCACTATCTCAAAGGGTCTCGACCGAGAAGCGAGAGACAACAGGTGGAGGGAGTGGTTTGCCTTACGAAACAAACACGCATGCAGAGTGGTCCAGATTCCCTTATATGGAGAAGTTCTGCTCACGGAGTCCATTTGGCACGGCATTCAACGCCCCTTCATACCGGATAAAGCGGCTAAAGGACGTCCATCTAGCCTCATGGCATTTTGCTCAACACAGGTTAGCTTTCCGGCTCGACATGCGTCTCCACTCCGGATCTCGGAGCCGGACAGCTTCCGAGTTTCGAAAGGATGGCATTCTGCCCTTTTCCCATATCAGCGAGTCATCAGAGCTCCTCAAGAATCGCGGACGAGCTCTTTCCCGAGAGAAGAAATACCGTTCTCGGGATGTGGAGTCGTTCCATGGAGGCGGGATACACTTGGCCCTACATTCTCTCTCAGTGTCTATTTTGTCACTATTCAGATTGTAGGCTCACGGAAAATCCCGTTCATCGAGTTTTGGATCGAAGGGAGCCTTCTCGATTCATGGAATTTACAGTTGTTACAAGTCACAAGTAAGAAATGGGCGGCCAAGCCTCACCAGCCGTCTACGTAACCGGAGTCACGCCTGATAAGCTTCACCCATGACATGTTAAAATGCGCAAGCGAGACTTGTTTTACTCGCCTACGGCCGGATGCTCGTCTAATTTGCCTTTAAGCGCTAAGGTCTTGATCCAGAATTGCGGGTGAGCATGTGGACAGGTGCACACTTAGTATCTAAAGTAGGCATCTCATATACACAAAAAAACACATGGGAAGTCTACTAATCGAGAACTCTGCCGCCGGTTACCTGCCCCACATCATCCTCTTCTCGAGGAAAATCAACTTTCCCATCATCATCATCAACAACAACATTCTTTGTACGACGACGATCCACCCTCCCAAATGCCCTCTTAGTTCACGCCCAACGACGACTAGGAATCCAAAAGAAAGACCGGGCAATGGAGACTCCAATAGTTTTAACAAGCGACAGTTGATGCTGATTGGCGGAAGTACCAACCCAAGCCCTGCAATTACATTGCAATGTTGTGGAATAAGAAATAATCATAGTTCGCAACCAGCAATCTACCGGAGCCGAACTGACCAGTGAGAGCACCGTCGGCGTTTAAGCCGCCTCACAAAGTTTCCTAGCGTACCGTGGATTTTATAAAGTCAGTACTTAGTGCTCGCCTGGATAAAAGTTCTACTTCTAGTTTAGGGAGAGGGGGAAGGGGAGAGACGACCATCTGGGAATGTGCTTTGAAATGCTGTGGTTTTGCTTGGGTCTAGCTTTCTTTCCAACAATCAATGAATGACGCTACTACCCGTTCGCGGCTCTGCCATCGTTTGACAGCCAGCCCTTGACAGCCATGTTTTTCCGGTTTACTGCTGTATTTTTCTTTAAAAATCTTTTTTCGGATTCTTATTCGCGTTCGTGAACGACTTCGAGTGGCTTGGATTTGGGGGGCGGCGGTCGAGCTTTTCTCGGATAGAAGCCATTCCGATTTCGCGAATAGACTCAAAAACCCCCCTCAAGCTGGAATCCCTGGACAACCCAACCGTCTGCCTGCTGCTCACAACAAGACGCCAAGTCACAACCAGCCAGGCCTCTCAGGACGAACACCCTGCCACGTCCTTCTCACTTCTCAACAGCACAGAGGGATTCCCACCGACCCCTCAACCGGCACCCGCTTCCCCCTTACGGCCGGAAAGCCAGTCATCGGGGTATGTTTCCGAGACTCTGGTGTTTCCAGAACCTTTTCGCCCGCTCGCTGTCTCTACTGAAGCCTTAAATTATGGGGGGTGAGGTAATCGAAGACGAGAAAACCTGCTCAACGTGTGTAGCGAGCTTTGATGTCGTACGCATCATCCGGGGAAGGTTCTGCCGGAAGGTTCTGCCGATAGTTGGAACTTTTCAACCTCCCGCACACGATACCTGGAGAAGTAAGTTAGCCTTGCTCCCTGAGATTCGACATAGTCGCCTTCCACGCTGGTTCACATCTCGGCGGTGCCAAGATGAAATGACTCTATCCCTTGGGGGTGCAGTACCCAGATGTTTCGAGATAATTCGCGATATAGAGCTCCCAACGAATGCACGTCTCGTACATCAGCAAAAGGCAAAACGGAACTCGAGATTCGCTATTACATCAATGTTCCAAAATGTCTCTTGTTCTATGTGAACGGGTTTTCAAGGCGATTTTCTCGAAAACATGCTGTTGCCTGGGACCCATTTCACTATGGCAATAAACAACGACGAGGCAAGAGCACCGGGAAGCGGCACATTTCATACCTGACAAACCCCTGTTACCGACCCCAGCATCCACTCCGACTGTGGATATAAAAGCAAGTACCAAAGCCGTATCAGTGCCTGATCTGTTGGACACAGTGATCTGGAGAGCACCGAAAGCAAGTTCGAAGTCATCTTCGGTGTCAGGCGAGGCAAGAGGTGGGCATGGTTTCTCACTACTGTATCTTGACGACCTTGTCCTGTTGTCAAATCTATTGGATAATTGAGCATAATCAGCAATAGTAGTAGTAGTAGCTAGCACTTGTTCTTGTTTCCTGTATATTCTAGCCCTTATAATAGAGAAACATCTATGATAGATCATGGACAGAGCCAAGGTCTTGTCCATGAGAACCCTGCCTCGGAGCCATAAATTCTCGTCGTAACTGTATTTGATTAAGAAAACAAGCGCATGAATTTTCCAAACGAGCAGGAAATCAAAGTGTGTTCCATCCGCGCACTCGAGAGAGTCATTGCTCCGGCCGAGGAATTGTCTATCCTCAGAGTAAGGATCTATTTGTTCTGGCTGGCTCACCTATTTCTCCATGAAGCGGAGGGACTGGAGAACATCATGTTTCTTATCCTGGATCTGATTGACTTGGCAACGGTGTGCCATGCACTTGATCTGGCGCCTGTTTATTCAGAGCAGGAGCGACAAGAATCAGACTGCCATTTCTTCTCCGTAACATGTGACATCTATCTACCAACTTGCTTGGCGACTGACCTCTTATCCAAAAATCCAGCTGTCATTATGAGATTGGAGGCAAAGGCTCTCTCTCACGAATGAAAGCCCCCGCTATTTGGATGTGATGGAACATTTCGCTAGAAGAACTCCTTCGCCTTATAATCGCACAAATACTTACGTTAGGTACTAGGAAGAAACAATCACATAGCCTGCCTCAAATCTAGTACATATAGAAGTGTGTATTAATTTATAAGAATACAAAAGAACCTACCGCAAGATGGTACCTTGAGAATATATGCTACACTTGATCATCTAGACTGCCGGAGAGCATGCTGGTCGACCGTCCTCAATAGGTAATCACGGGATAGAAGTCATCCCCAACCATTTCTCCCGTCTTGGATGCACCAAACGTCACAAACACCTTCAAAATTTCCTTCACGAATGCCACAAACTCCTCCATAAACGCGTTCCTGGAGCGCTCATACTCTGGCTCCTCCGTGGCCGTGAGATCATTGAATCTCTTGAAAGTATGCAGAAACTCGATCCACAGCTCCCTCGGCCCGGTATTCCATACCTCATGCGCCGCAGCCCTTGACCGTCCAAACAAGCTCTCCCAAGTCCCGTCGCCGTCGTCTCTCATACTACCATGGTTCACAATGATCCAACACATGCACGAAAGCACCTCGGCGTGGGAAATGCCCAGGTCCCTCCGGGAATTTTGCGCCCACGCGAGCGCGCCCTCGTCGACTTCGCCGCCGGTGTCGAAGCCTGGTCCCTGGATGTTGAGCTGCTGCATGAACAGCTTGTACCAAAGAGTCCCGTAGATCTCGAGATGCGCCTTCCATTCTAAATCGTTCTCGTCGTGAGCGGAGAAAATTTGTAGCCGCGTCTGGGAGGGGTCGCGTGTGACTTCGTTGAGGGAAAGAAAACACCACCGCGCGCATTGCATCAGCGTGTCTAGAGCACCAGTTCTCTTTTTGCCATCATGCGCCGGAAGAACCCAGTCATCCAGATCGTAGAGTAGGCTACTGAGTTCCGTCTCTTCTAACTGCAAAGAGAGCGTGTGCTGTCGCTCATAAACAGTGTCCAGGAGATGAAATGCAAATAGATCGACAGAACCGCCTTCTTTGAGCAAGAAGCCTTCCCAGGATCCGAGAAGAATGGACGAAACAGCGGCCTCAAGCATCTGCTTGATGGGTTCTTTCAATGTACGGTGATCGTCGTCTCTCATCTCGTGGTTCATGCTCTCTACAACATGTACGCATAATAGGGACCAGAATCCCACGTGGCTGCTAGACTGCGAAATGCGTAATTCTAGGCGGTCCAGAGCCGTCTGGCATTGTTCGACGGTCTCAGCCGATCGGCAAAGGGCTACAAGCCTCTTTGAATCTTCCATATCGCCGAGAAAGTCTGCATTGTATATTTCCCAGGCGTAAGTACCGCCGGCGACTGCAAAGATTGCATTCGCGGCTTGAATGTTGTGGGTTATTAGGTCGTACGCGTATGAGCCAGCCTCAAAACCGGATGTGAGCCCCAATGCGTCGGTAGCCTCGTTGCTTTGTTCATCTTTCAAATCCTCGTCAGTAATCTCTATCGTCATCGGGCAAGCCATCACAACCTTTGAGACTCTTGGGATTGCCATACTTCGCGCAGTCCCATATGCCTAGCCTGTAGACGAGTTGACGTTTCCTATCAAAAATTAGCCACGAATCAGACATTGAAGGTGAAACATACGTAACGATGAGGTTATGTTCATCTTCCAGGAACGTGATCACCGCGTCAAGAGTCTTCCTCTTATATTCTTCGCAAATGGTCGGCCTCAATTTATCCCACCGTTCCGTGGGAATTCGGGACGCTCGCGAGGTCGCTCCTTTTGCTCCTTTCGCCATATTGAGTTCGTTAATTATCTGGCTTTGTGGATTTGATGGCGCCCAAAAGGTAGTCCCTAGAACTTCGAAGGCGGGCATATGCTCTGATGCCATTTTGTAGGTTTCTTATAATCTGCAACAACCAAACAAGATTCTTCCGCCAGAAACGAAGCGCCTTGGAGTCCTCCTCATAACCCAAGAAAGCCCAACGAGCTCCGCCCCTCGTCGCCTTCTTGAGGCTGAATTTCATGTAAGGCTCCCAGTCCGCGGACCAAGTACGTAGCCTTGGGTCCGAATTGTAATTTCAAAGCAATTCACTCTGTATGCAAAGTCCTTACACGATCCAATCATCGCTTGGCCAGGGGTCGAAAAGTGCAAGTTTCCCTGCACCGCCATTGGGTCAGCAACTAAGCTGGCGTTGTCATTTTGGGAGTTGAAATTTCACTTGGGTTTCAACAACACCATTACATCAAAATACCAAAAAGCCGAGGGGTCATGCATGCCGCTATATCTAGCCAAGAAAAGTGCAATTCCCATTGACAAAGTCTGGCCACCTGGGGAATGGCATGCTAGACCGGCCTACTCAGCCAAGTTCCAATATTGATACGTTTTTCA